TATATACGTGTATGTATATATATATGGGAAAGGTTATGACGTTATCTATGCACCACCACCTGATCAGCTGGTATACATTGTTGATTTTGCCCACATTGGCCGAAATAATATGATGGGATGCCCTCAGAGGCTTGATGATGTTATGAACACATGTACCTATGCACGACATTACATTCATATGCATATGCATGACACTATAAGTATTTCATGATTTACAGAGTTATCCAGACTTACAGGTTTTAGTCATTTACTCTATATTTCTTCCATGTCTTTTATGTACCTTACATACTCAGTACATTATTCGTACTGACGTCCCCTTTTCCTCTGGACGCTGCGTTTCATGCCCACAGGTCCTGATAGACAGGTCGAGAGTCCTCCAAGTAGGCTATTAGCTCAACGGAAGATATTTGTGCTCTCTATTTGCTCCGAAGTTGCTTGTTTGGTCAGTATGATTTAGACGCATATTGTTTGGTATGGCGGGACCCTATCCCGACCTTTATGATAAGTATGTATTCTTAGAGGCTTGTAGACATATGTCATGTATACGGATGCTTGTATGGCCTTGCCGACCTAAGTTTTGAGTTTACAAATGATCATGTTGGCCTTATAGGCCCGTATGTCACATGCATAATTTTTTTTTATATATCAGGTTGGGTCGTCCTATATTGAATATTCCCCTATGTCTATTCTGGTTAGCCCATGCCGTCCTGTTGGCCCATTTGCCAATTAAAGTACAATAAGAAAGATATATTATGTTGATACTCAGTTAAGTAAGGTACCGAGTGCCCGTCGCGGACCATCGGTTTAGGTCGTGACATTGCGAGAGTTAGTGATCCATTTCCAAAGGAGAGGATGATGTTGCCGGCAGTACCACAAGAATGGATAATAGAGGCTTTCACCAAAGGCCTAAATACTTTAAGCTCTAATGCCTCGATGAAGTTGAAAGGGAGTCTATTGGAATTTCAGGCGATCACATGGGTTGCCCCATAATCTTATAAATCAAAGATTAGGATAGAAGATGATCAATTGAGTTCTTCGGTATCATCCAAGGGTCGTAATCGCGATCGAAATGAAGAAATATTCAAAATTATTCTGATGCAGACCGGAGATCTTTCAGGAATCGTTTCCAATCTTATGTGCCAAACGAAAGGTTTGATGGGCGTGGGTTTTCAATCATCAGAAAGGTTCGGACCGGATAAAAGGACTTATCGTGGTTGAAATAATAGGGCTTTGCTGGAAAAAGAGTCATCTGGATCTCGAGATTCAAGATATCTCATAGTTGGTTTCAACTATGAGAAACATCAAGGAATCAAGGAAGCCAATTCGATTAGACCCCAATCAAAGAGATCCTAATATGTGGTGCGAGTTCCATGATACACATGGTCATAGGACTAGGGATTTCCAACACTTTCATGAAGATGTAGTAATGTTATTGAAAAATGGTCACCTTAGAGAATGTTTGAGTGATTGAGCTAAAAATAACTACGATAGGAATCGAGATGCAACAGAACCAACAAAACTAATCACATGTTCTTCCCGCCTAATAATTAACATAATTTTTGTTGGGGTTGAAGTAAATAGGGTGACGTTTTCGGCAATTAAAAGACGAAGATATCAGTTACTCATAGCAAAGAAAAATCTGGAAGATAATAAAATTACCTTTATGGAGGAAGATGCGGACAACCTTATCTTACCTCACAATGAGGCTCTAGTAATATCTTTAAATATTTTAGATTTTAATATTAAACGTGTGCTAGTTGATCCAGGGAGTTCAACCAATATTATCTAATTGAGGGTTTTAGAACAAGCAAAGCTAACCATAAACATAGTTCAAGTGATAAAGCTTTTGGCTGGGTTCAACTTAACAAGAGTAACGACCCGATAAGATATCGTGTTGCTTACCTATGCCAAGGGAGTTTCAAATACACCTTTTTCGAAGTTGTGAAGGGTGATATGGGCCACAATGTGATTCTTGGTAGGCCATGGATCCGTGAAATGAAGGTTGTGCCATCAACTTATCATTAATTGTTGAAGTTTCACCGAAGGAGATCAAGCAGATTAGGGGGTGATAAACCTGCTGCAAGGGAAATAAATGCAGTCACCTTATCTAGCAGCAAGGCAGAGGGGATCGATAAATAACAACTACAGGAAATGATGTCAACTTCTATTCTAGTACCGGTAGAGGACGATGGAGAGGAAGAAACATCGAATACTTACCAGGTGCCCAAATCATTCCAGGTATTAGAAGAAGTGGATGCAACAAAGTCAACTTCAAAATTAGCATATGACAGGTGGATGTTCGTCAAATGAATACGTGGCAGTAAAGCACGTAATAGATGAATCACCAAATAACTGACACCGGATCTAAGCATGCGACCGGTGTTGCATGAGCCCCGATGTCATCAAGATCGGAGAGAAGAATTATAAGCAAGATACTGGTTGAAAAGGGCAGCATTAAAGGAGCGGCCATTGCCGAGAATCTTAGTATTTGCACTCAACTTTTATGCGACTATCAAGAGGGGTCTTTAAACACTTTAAAGAGGATCTTGATTTGAGGATCTTGTCTTCTCTAATTTTGCGATAGATAGAAAAATGTGTATCCATGGAAGGACATGAAATACTTATACGCGAAAATGCTAATATTACTTTCAGTTAACATCTTCTTGTTAGGCTCTTTATTCTTGATATTATTTTTGCTTCCGAAGAAGTTCAATTCAAGCCCATCATGGTATTTTCTTACTTTTCTTCTTTGTTACTTTATACTTGTGGATCAATTTAATTCGTGTGTCTATAAACACATTACAAATTCGATTGTACCATTTTACGAGTAAAGATATGATACTTTTATCAATATTTTTGAAATATAAAGGATGTATTTTTGAATAAATACATTGAAGTAAAATAACCGAAAGAAAAATTGAAAGTAAAAACGAAATTCTCTCACACACACAAACACCACACTCTTTAGAGTAATATTAGTAATGTTTGATATACTGTATAAGTAATTTTTGCTCATTTTCAGTTTATAAGTTCTGAAAATGCTTATTCTTATTCTTAATGAAATTGCAACTCTTTTGAAGTGGGATAGAGTGTTTATTCTTTTCGTTTTTTAAGAATTACGTAACATTATTTTACTTTCCCTTCTGTTTATTTTATTACATCAAATTTAATGAAATTTTCATTTTGAATTTTCCTATCAATTGTTTCACTTCAGTTTATCTTAATTTACATAATTACATATACGTTCCACGTGACTCGATTTCATTGGCCTTTTAATTTGACTTGGCATGCCCTGTCCATTTGGCACGTGGCATAATCCCATTGGCTCTTTTATTTGACTTGGTGTGCCATGTCATTTGACATGTGACATCAAATTGAGCCTCTAGGAAAATGATATATTGGGCTTAAGGAAGTAGGCTCATTACTTTAGCTCAATTAAATGGGCTAGCCCAATGGATTAAGACTTACTCATTTAATCCATATGTGTTGAGCTTATATAATTAATTCAATTATATTAGCCCATAATATTTATTTTGACCAATATATCTTGAATTTAAGATATAGTCCAAATTATTTTATTGAATCTAAATTCAATAAATTTTGCATGCCTACAAATACCATTACAAAAAGTGGATAAAAGAAAAAAAATTATGGAAAAAATTAATTTTAAAGTATAATGGTATGTATATAATCAGTTTGCCTCGTTTTTTGTTTTAATAGAAAGCCCAAAATCAAATAATATCCATTTTTAACATTTAATACAATGAAACCAAAATATATGGTAGTAGTATTTAGGGCATCTTGCTGTGACGTTCTGGGTGTATTTGGGACGAAGGAAAATGTTTTACATGGAAAATATTTTCCATGAAAAATGAGTTGTTTTATAACTTATTTTTCCTTGTTTGATTGGTGAATGGAAAACTTTTTTTGGAAAATAATTTTTAGTGTTTTATTAGAGAGTAGAAAATATTTTTTATGCTACTGCTTTCACCTCCTTCCCCAAGTCCCCATGTTTCTTGTGCTCCCCCCGCCTTAACCCCTAGAATATCCAAAGTTTTCAGAATTTCAAGAATTTAATTATTCTTCTAAAAATTCAGACAAACCCAAAGGAACTAATGTGCTGCATTATTATTTTATGCAAAAACAACATTTAAATTTGTGTTCCATAACTAAAAAGAAAATACTATTTTTTTGATTTAAAAAAAAGTACTCTTTCTACAACATGAAAATAAAGTACTTATTTTATTGAAATGAAAGAAAATATTTTGTTTACATCATGAAAAGAAAATACTCATTTTGTTGAAATAAAAAAAATATTTTTCTACATTATGAAAAAAAAAATACTTTTTTGTTGAAATGAAAAAAGTACTTTTTCTACATCATGAGATTTTTTTTTTGTTGCAATGAATTATTTTTTTTACTATATTATTTTGTTAAAATCAAAGAAAATGCTTTTTTACATCATAAAAAGAAAGTTTTTTTTGTTAAACTAAAATAAAATTCTTTTTTTTATATTATAAAAAGAAGAAAGTAACATTAATAATATTTCTATTTAGATGAGAGGTTGGGGTTGGATGGATTTGGGGGGGGGGGGAGGGGGCTTTCATGACCTCCCTTCCACACATGTATAATTTATATCNGAAGGGGTAAGGGTTTGGGGCGAGGATGAGAGTGGGTTGGTGGGGGAATGGAAAATATAGTGGGAAAGATTAAAAAGAAGTTTTGGAAAATGTTACTCCCTCCGGTTCACAATATGTGACCAATTTGTTTTTTCATTTTGGTTCAAAATAAGTGTTCAATTATGTAATCAAGAAAGAATTCAATTTGTTTTTATAAAATAACCCATATGTACATATTCTTAAAAAGTTTTCTTACTCCTCATATTAAATGTTTAATCAGGGATAGTTTAGTCACAGTATGTATTTTTGTATAGAATTTAGTACTTATTTTTTAATGAGCGTGCTAAAAGCAAATTACGGATTACCTCTCATGTTTCCGCTTCGTACCAAACACAGCCTCTATTTGGTTCCATTACTAAGCTTGCACTTGTTCCATCGCTTCAATCATTTGTCAGCCTCTAACCACAGGCGCCCTTTTCCTCTTCTCAAGCACTGTACCTACTACTTACTGTTTGACGTCTCCTTTTTTGGGATCCATTAATCATGCCTCCCAGAGCCAAACGCCCAAAGGTAAAACGAACAGATTATTAAGCTATTTGAAGATAATTTTAATGAACATTTGTTTTTATTTGAACATGTGTTTGTTTGTTATAAATGCAGTTGGGATTCCGACGAATGGATGCAGCACTAGATGCAATGGATCGCTTAGGGTTTTCTCGTCACATCGTCCAAAAATCCATTAAAGACCTCCTCAAGGTTTCTTTTTTTCTCCTAACGCATTTCTCCATTTTTTTTAATTGAATTTTTCAACTTGTTTTTTGTAGGTTTATGGAGATGAAGGGTGGATATTTATTGAGGAGGCTGCATACAAGCTTCTGATTGAGACTATACTTGACACGCAAGGAGAATCTGAGTCTAATCACGATCATGAGCCCCAAAATCAGTTAGCGGAAATTGGCAGTGGCAATACATGTCCTAATTTTCAGGAAAAAAGTGAGAATCTTGCAGAACCTTGTGATGAAGAAGTGTGCGAAGAGCATGATCAAGTAGATGGCACTCCTGTGAAACTTGAAGAACATGAAAAACATATAATTGGAAACGTTCTGCTATTTGAGGTAATCCCACTTAGATTCATTGGTCGATATGCATGACGAATAATGATAAAAGTTTTATATGCAAAGTCAATCAATGTAGTATACTCTAAATTAAGGGGTATGTTGCAGGACAGGGCGGATGTAAAATTCAACTTATGGGTTCATCTGAACCCGGTAATGTTGGCTCCGTTTCTATGTATGTTTTACCAAATTCATTAAATAAGTACAAATAATTAATTTCAAACCTAATAAATCAAAAGAATTGTCATAGAATACCTAGCTCGAACTCATAAAGTGCAGATCTTGGATCCGCCTCTGTTGCAGGAGGCAGATACTATGTTGAAATTGACTCATTGTTGCCTTCTTCTTGAAGTGGTTTTGTTAATATGAGATTGGATGAGAACAGGGGAAACTGTATAATGCTCCTAACGAAAATTAACAACTACGGGAGTAAATTCAGAAAGAGAGCAAAACAATCTTGGTGATTCTTGAACTTAGAGAACTACTATAGGGCCATTATGGTAATCCATTTTGGTACTATTATTATACCTTTCGAGTGTAATCTTGGAAGAACATTATCCAACTATGCAGATAGGTCCACCTTTTGAAGTAATTGTAGACATGAACCATACTGCTCATGGTTGAACCGAAGAATCTCACAATTTAAGACCAAGGATTAGGAACAATAGAAAGGAGTAAAGTAAAATGAACTGTTTGTGGTACTAAGTCATGAGCTTGCAAGAGAAGTCATCTTTCGCGGCTTCTTTACCAAACCTTCTAGGATCAATTTGGAGAACCAAAATATTCAGAGAAGGAATAGCATCAAATGGCAAGAAATTGTAAGGAACAACATAGAAGGCCCTTAAACAGCATCTACCATATCTTAGCTTCATCTGTATATTAGTAAGCAAAACCAGAAAATGAGTACAATACGCAAAGTTTTATAGCATCACTACTATTCTTCCTCAAGTACAGCTTGTTTAGCATGTTGCATCAAGGTCTATTTGGAAAGAAAACACAATGTTTGATCTACTGTTTTTTTTTCGTTGATCCCCTACCCTGTAACTGCTGTTATAATTCCTTGTCTTGGCCAATTGAAGATTCTTTCTAGTCTATTTTACAGGACATTGCTCCATTACATTCTACTCCGGTGAAAGATGTTTTCCCAAGTAACCAAATTCGCAAACCATGCTATGGATGGATTAGTGATGACAGTGATGAAGATGAGAAGGATCTTGCATCGTTATCCTCTGGCAAAGCACATTAACTAGTGATAATGATCGAGTATTTATCATAAATTATGGAAGCTTCGTATCAGAATCCATTTGATATGATGTTACCAAAGCAGGGTATATCTAAGATTCTGATCAACCTAAATTTGTTTCAACACCATTATGAGGAGTAAGAAATGTGGTATTTGGCGGTCTTCTGGATTATAATCATCATCCTCGTTCATCGGATAATGATATCTCTGCTCGCGGAGAAAGGAAAAAGGTGTACAGTGAGAGTCTCCTTCTTAGATGGTCTATTAAACTAATACTTCTTTGTTTATAGTTCCAATGATGGTAGTTGGAGATAATGCTGAAGGTGGCTTTGAAATGCAAACTTGCATTGTTAAACATGTAAATATAATTTATGGTTGTCTTAGTCGAGTAGGTTGCTATGGGATAATCTTATACCAAAATGCATTATGAAAGTAATTGGGGTTTAAATCCATGCTGTGCTGCAAGTCTACAATTACGTAAGATCTGAACAAGATGTGCCTCCAGGGGCTTGTAAACTTCATTATAACTATTATTATACTTTTTTGGCATGCTCTTCTGGTAATCATTTTCTCCTTTTTGGGAAAAGGTCCAAATTTGACATTGTATTATTTGGAATTGTTAAATTTTGTCCTTCGATTCACTTTTGGTCCATAAGAGACTTAAATAGAGTATATAGCATGGCAGATACTTGGCTAAATCCAAAGCATTAAATAGTAATGCATCTGATTAAAGTTCCTACAGTCCATTTTGGTTGGTCACTTGGTTGATTATGACATCAAATATTTGGGAGAATTTTGCGGCTTATGACTTCACTACTCTATAAAAACATGAGCAAGCTTGTCCATCGAATCTGAAGTCTTTGTTTTGGTATGTTCCAACTGAAATTAGCGAGGTCCCAAGGCCCAAGGGTGCCTATGCTTAGAGTTGAGACACAATTTCTGACGAATGCGTTTCAAATGAAAGAAGGAATTGTAATTGTAATTGATGGTAAGCAGAAATTAAGTATATGTGAACAGATATATGTGGCATTTTCATATATACCCACTTTTGGAGCCACCATTGAAGTTAATAAAAATTGCACAAAATTTTGCAAAGTATACTCCCTCGGATTTAAAGCAGTTCTATTTCTTCAATGCAATTTCAGGAGCTGGATCTGAAATTCTTTATCTTTGAAATGCAACTTTAGAGATTCGAATCTTAAGTAGTTCAATTTATTCAACATAACTTTAGACATCAAATCTGGAGTTCTATCTTTTCAAATGCAACTTAAACATTTGGAATTTTAAGTAGTTCATTCTCTTCAATGCAACTTCAGATTTCGAATCATATGTTTTGAAACATAAACTTGTTCTTGGAATTTCAACCATCCAATACGCGATTCAAGATTCAAATGACTTTCAATATAATTAAGAACAAACCATAATCATCAAATTGTCAAAACAACAACAAATTTAACAAACTCATTTTGCCACTAAGAAGAAGAAGAAGAAACCCTAAGCACAAAGAAGAAGAAAGCAACAACGGCGAAGAATAGAAAAATATATGTATTTGAAGTTAGTTAAACTTTTTTTAAAAAGTGAAAATATTCCATGGGTGGCGTAAAACTGGGCTTTACCACAATATATGGGGATCCAAGCACTTGCGACTAGTCCACACAGACCAAAATACGTTTGATGGTGTGTAACTTAAGAAACCAGCAGAAAGTATGCGGTCTTCTTTTGGCTGGGAACCCAATTCCCATGTTTCTTGGGTAGTCAGTACAAGCCCAAGTTGGAAATATATCCAACCTACAATACATGATTAACTCAAACTAAAGCTTCCAAGTTATTGCAAACCTTGAGCATTGACTAACAAAACAGTCTTCTATGCCAATACAAGTTATGTCTATACACTGATATCATTAAAGAGAGAGGATACTAAGGATCATTGGGTCTAATATCCCACCTTGATTTGCGTTTCATTTGCTTATTGGTACCACCACTTGAATTTTGTGACGTAGTTGGTTTCATTGGTGGTAATTGTATGAAGTCGTCAGCATCCTCTTCGTCATCATTTCCAATCCAGCCATAACAAGGAACGTGCTTTCTTGGTGGAACACTAACTGGCTTTGAGGAAGGAAGATTTTTAGTGCGATGATCAGCACTAATTGGGCTTGAGGGAGAAGTTGGAGGTGGAGCAGAAACATGAGAGTTACTCCGTGATTTCACTTGGCTCACAGAAGTCATTTTGAGACGATTAACTGGGCTTGAGGAAGAAGTTGGAGGAGGAGTAGAAACATGAGGGGTACTCCGTGATTCCACTTGGCTCCCAGAATTTATTTTGAGACGATTAACCGGGCATGAAGAAGAAGTTAGAGGTGGAGTAGAAACACAAGGAGTACTCCGTGATTTCACTTGGCTCCCAAAACTCATTTTGAAACGATTAACAACTGGGCTTGAGGAAGAAGCTGGAGGTGGAGTAGAAACATGAGAGGTACTCTGTGATTGCACTTGGCTCTAAGAACTCATTTTGAGACGATTAACTGGGCATGCGGAAGTAGTTGGAGGTGGAGAAGTAACATGAGAGTTACTCTGGGGATTTTCACCATTATTGCTGAAAACAGCGTTAGCCGATCCTTTCTGTGTTAAGGTTTGATCCTCCCCTATGTCTGTCCACCTATTTCCATCTCTTTCAGCTGAAGGGGGACAAATTACTTCTGCAAAATGGGGTTGTTAGGGAAATTTTAGTAACGGCCTCAAAATCATATGGGCACTACTTTACTGTTTCACAAATAAAAAGCAGTATTCTTACATTCCAAGTCCCCAGCACGGGTGAAACTATGGCAGAGAATGAAACGCAGCAGCTACACTAGAAAAGAATGCAATATTTGTATCTTCCCTAGTCTGTTGGTATACTAAATTTGTCTATCTGATATGGATGCAAGTTACTCATGCATCAGCTGGACCGAATGTTTTTCTACTTTGTTCAACTGATTTCCACTGCATGGCAGCTAAATGGCTACTAGACTTAAAAATTTACACTGATCAAGAAGCAGAATTAGAACATGATAAGTTACTCACCAGTACTGCCAATGTCTTGTTTGTTGCTGCAAAGCTCTTCGTATGTTGGTTCTTCTACTGCATTAACAAGCTCAGTGCATGCTGTTTCTCCTACAGTATTGCCAGCTTCATAGCATGTGGAAACAACAAGAGTGCCCGAGGGAGCAATGGTGCTTTCTGAAGCAGGGTCTTCGGCGCTTTCATCTTGTGAGGAGACACCCTGCTATAATTCAAGGTCTTCAGCTATTCCAGGATATGCATATACAACTCCAGATGCAATTATATCCATTACAATCATATCAATATCGAATAAAAGGTGACAAAATTTCATCATTTCATATTATTGGCACTCAATGCAATACAGAAAACGAGCCATCTAGCTGATTTCCTATTGATACAAGCTTAACCAAAAATTATAACTAAATCTACCCTAAGCAGAGATTCCCAAAAAATACGATCCAAGACAGATAAGCAAATAAAGTTCAGGGCTTTGTAGTTACAGACATCATAATATTTAGGCTAGTAGTTGTAGAAATATGGATGTGATTAAAAGTAAAATACAGATCATGGAGTTTGAATCAAAAGGAGAAAAACATGTAACTTGTTTCTGCTCTATTTCGTAGTATTAAATAAATACTAAAAGGCAGAATGTAGAGTAGCAGAGTGTCATACAGGGGAACAATGGAGAATCAATTTCAGGAGAGACTTTACATGAAAGATTGTGATGAGATACACTTTAGTCACTGATACAAACTCATTATTAGTGCAGTCCTGTAGGATATGCAAATTTAATACTGCTAAAAGTAATTTTAAGTTTTCACTTATTTGTGCCACAGAAAATCATTGGCGGACAAATACTCTAGTATCAAGTTCCAAAGAAATTTAAAATGAATGTTCTCAGATGCTCATACTGTATAGTGTATACACACATGATCGATTAGAGCAACCTAAAGGATCCACTTATGTTGATTTTAATGAGATGCTTTACGTAACTTTTAACAGTTTTTAGGAACCATTTACGCCAACAGCAAAGGACACCATTTGATGGACTATTACAGATTTTTGTAAACAACCATTCGTGGGATTTTAGTGGGTTTATTATTGTTGTACAGGTTATTGTAAACACAGCGGATAATACATGAAAGGCAGAAGCAATCAAAAACCAGCAATTACAAAAAACGGGCAGTAGACTCCTCTTGACAATTATTCATCAGCAGACTTAGATGACACAAGTAAACAGCCAATAAACAACAAGGATTCTTTTCCACCTTTGGTAAGAAACACTTTAATGCATTTGAGCAGGTAACTATGCTGGTATGGATCCAGGTAAAACTGAATAGACAGATTTAACCCCTTTCATGATCAAACAGTATGAATGCTTCTTAATCCACGTAAAACTCAAAATTTTGGGCTACCTTAGACATAAGGATGTTAGTTAGTGCCAATTTTATAAAACAGAGCTTGAGCTATAAAATTCACTAGCCATCCTGCATTTACAAATACGTATACGCAAGTAATTCTTAACAATTCAACATCCAATAATTTTGTGCATTTCATTCACTAAGATTTTGTCTTTCTTTGTATTTCCCAAAGTTGATATCTTTTCTGGTAATAGAACAACTTGAAGCCTAATATTCCACTGTAAATCATCTAAACCTGATCAATATATATGTGGCTCATGATTAGAGATAGTTAAGAATAGAGGGGGAACTCAAGCCCCTTCCCTTATCCAAGCCAACCCCAAGAAAAAGAAATTCAAATATACAAGAAACACACTCTACACCCAAAAAAACAAATAGGAGAAAAAAAATGCAAGTATGTTCTGCATGACTGAAAATACTTATTTTCTAGCGTATGATTAACCTGCAGAAGGGAAATCGTTTTCTCCGAGAAAAGTAATTTCACTAGAATGAGAAAATGAAACATCTAAGTACAAAAGCAGGGCGGAGCTTTAGTCCAAAGTCTAAACCTTGTATTTGTCTTATGTAATTCATTGAACATGTATTAATTATTAATTTAGAACCCAATAACATAAAAGAATTAGAATTTCGAACCAATAACCTTCAACTTCCGGCTCTAATCAGCATTCATGCCCAGAAATCTCACTTGGGGATAATGTATTCCTACCAAAGACGGCTCTATTCTAAGGCTCGATTCATCACAAACTTTTGGTGGTAATATCCCAACTCTTGCTTTATACTATCACTTGTTTCAATATAGTATTATTTTAATCTACCACTTAACATTGTGGTCAATAGTTAAAAATCTCACCAAAACACTATTCTCAGACCCAATGCAAGGTCTACTCTTTGTACAATTACCGTATGCCACTTTAAAACCTCAATAAAATATATGATTCCCTACGATAAGCATTTCCCAAGAAAAATACTCTTCATAAAAAAAAAAAAAAAAAAAAACAATTTT